ATTAGCTGGAAAACAGTAGCTGAAATTTTGAGAGTATTGATCGCCCATTTGGGAAGTTCTACACTTGTGTAGAATTTTAGATTGCACTTTGGCCGTGCTTTAGGGCTTGTCAGAGATGTTTGCAGTGGGGAGGTGGTTTCGCCCACCGGACAAGCTGCGAGACTAAAACTTTGCAGTAATGTTCTGTACTCGTGAGTGATATTGACTTAGCTTGGAGGCGGAATTCCCTGCATGCGGACATGATATATGCTCAATTTTACCGCAAACTCAGAAGCGAGCGCATTTTGCGGATTTTATAATTCTTCTCTTCCCGCCTCTTATGCATTGGTCAAATTTGCAATTTTTGATGAACGACCGCTCATCGAAAAAACAAACGAGTTTCATACACAGTTGAAATTCATGCACGCCGGAGGTTCACGTGGCCCCATGGCGCAACACCACCATCCCAGCTAACGCCCTTCTGTATGCACGAAAAAGCTAAAACACAACTAACATGAGTCGTCCTGTTAAACCACAACGCAGACACCGTACATGTTGCTAACGACCTGATTGCTGCAAACCTGGCGCAAAAACATATGATCTGGCTGGCAAATCATGTGTATTCAGGCTTAGGTTGCATTTGCATAAATGCAAGAACGCATAATTAGTTAGAATTATACTTTAAAATCAGAGGTAGGGGCGCAAATGGGATGCAAGCGGATTTCGGCTTTTTCATTCCACACGATTGCGGGACTCTGTTCTTCAAATTCTTTTCCCTTAGTTTGGAGCTGAATTCGAACCACATTGACATCCACGTAGATATATTCTCGCCCTATATCTAAAAATGCATACAATTTGAACTGTAGAAGCAAAAAGGAGGAAACATGGGAATGCAAAATCAGGCCAAACTGGAACAAAAATATCCCATACAAGCACAGAATCTAGTCAGATGGAGGGCGTTAAACTGTATTAGATGCAGAGGAATAGGTAAACGTAGATGTGAACATTTTCAAAAGAAATAACACTAAAACCTCAAAGCTTTACTGAAAAAAATGAGACACAGA